CTTTTCTCTTTTCTTTATATAGGAATATAGCCATACCTTGAGTGGAAACATGTCGGAATCTGGCGCACACCGTGCCAGATCTCCTGACTTTGGCTATTAGCTCTTGTGACACCATCACTCATATCGCCTCTGCATCATGCAAAGCCCAGGTGTCATTGGAGGGAATCAGATTTACCTCTCCCTAGCTAAAGGTGGATGTTTATATAGAATTTGTGAGTACTGTATTCACTTTGATAATGAAGGATTTGTTGTGAAAGTCATTGAACAGAGTGTATTTCTTCTGACTTTAACTATACTGTGTCCACTGAAACTATCCAATGGCTGTCACGAACCATCCCACACTGTGAAGCGTTCACTCTGAACTTCTCGCATAGCTGAAGCCAAGAGGGAAGGAGGAGGCAAGAATGGGTGGATCTGGGATCAACACCCATAAGTGAGCAATGAGCAGTTACAAGATACTCAGCTGGCCCAACATGATTATGCATACTGTAGGAAGTACAGATATACAAAGCACTACATGTAGTGCAAGAGGATGGCAAGACTGCTGACAAGATGGTGGTTCAAGACAAAAGATCAATATATTATGTAAGATATCCAAATCTAGCTATATACCACTGTTTGACTATGGCCTCTGGGCATTCACTTCCAATCCTATATCACAAAGCCCCCCAATGTCCAGAGGGCATGTAAGGAAAACAATGGTGGGGAAGAATAATAGAATAGAAATCCTCTTGCCCCCCAGGGTGAATATCAGGATAAAATGAGACCAAAAGGTAGCAAAGCAAAGAAGATGAATAAAAGAAAGAAAAAATTTGGCCCCAAATAATTTCCTATCTGGAAAGCTGGTCACTGTAAGCTCCCAGCTTGACCCAGAAATACCCATATGATCCTCCCATTCTCTCTTCAGTGATGTATGACCATGAGTACTGGGAAACCATGCAAGTGGATGGCTTCCAGGTCATCCATCCCAACTCCATTGCCTTTCCCCATCAAGATGGTGTAGTGTGCTTCCATCATACTTGTGGTCTGGGTATAAGGCATGTATAGTGTGATAGAGGCTTGTGCCTCTCCACTCAGATTGTTGATCCCAACTCAACTCCCTCTACCCATCAAGATGATGTAGCTTGCTTCCATTGTGGTGTGTGATCTGGATGTGGGGAGTGTGTAATGGGATAGAGGCTTGCACCTCTCCTCCCATATTCCACCTATACTCCCTTACATCCCCCCACTTTTCCAGTGTGCGAATCTCAAGAATCAAGCCAGGGAGGATAGAGGCGAAGAGATCGTGCAGTGGAAAATTACAAGCTGTGATCCTAAGTTGGTGTCAGAGTAGGTAGAGGTGGTGCCATGTTGGGCAGGAATGATAAGAGGTTGAAAGAAAGGGGAAGAAGAAAAAAAAAAAAGTTGTCATAAATCTTGCCCCCCAGAGTGGACACAGGCCATGCAACACACAAGCAGCAATCTATAAGGTTACCATGATTGAAGAAGAGTCCACCGCATAATGTAATGAAATAGCACGTTAGCTCAGCATTGTGCAGAAAGAACAACCACTGAATTAGTACCTAATGAAATAGCACGTCTAGGTACTCGTAAGTAATGATAAGAAAGAAAAGAAACCAAAAGACGTACTAGCTCAGCATTGTGCAGAAAGAACAACCACTGAGCGTGACGTGTGTGACATGTAAGTAAATAAAACTTGAGACACGTTGAAACAAGAATGTAATCTAAACATCAATTTCTAACACTCCCACTCATTCGTGGTTTCAAACCAAGCATGGAAACGAACCGCATATGTTTCTCTCCGGTAAGGCCCTTTGTTAATCCATCTGCAACCATATCCTTCATTGGAACATAGTCAAGAAGAATTTGACCATCTTTGACAGCAAATCGAATGAAGTGATAGCGAAGTTGGATGTGCAAAGTGGGCTTGTCCTGCTTGAATCCAAGTTGCTTGAGGAGCTGATGAAGCCAAATCGCTTCCTGGGAAGCACGTGTGACTGCCATATACTCTGCCTCAGTAGATGAGAGTGCAGGTGTGTTCTGGAGTTTGCTGCTCCAGCAGATAGCTGCACCACATGCAAGAAAGACAAACCTTCAGTGGATCGTCGAGTATTGAGATCACCAGCCCAATCAGAGTCGGAATACCCCAAGATGAATGAAGTCATCTCACCAGCCTTCTTGCGATCGAAGACCAGGCAGTAATTGCAAGTACCTGCAAGATAGCGAAGAACATGAACAGCTTCAGTTGGAAGCAACTTTGCTGAGTGCTCCCACTGCAAAAGCAATGTCTCCATGAGTTCCTAGCATGCTGTACATGAGGGTACTGAGTAGGCTTTGATAAGGAAAGTTCTGCATGAATTCGACTTTGGAGGGAGTTGAGGGGCAGTTGGATTTGCTAATCTTGGCTCCAGAGCTGAGGGGTGTGGGATGAGTTTGACTGTCATTGAAACCATAGCGCTCAAGGGACTGTTGGATGTAGCGTGATTGGGAAAGTTGAAGGATGCCAGCTTCATGATCATAATCAATCGCAACACTGAGGAGTTGGCTGATAGGACCAAGATCCTTGATTTTGAAGATCTTGCTGATATGATCCTTGATCTTCTGCATGAAGTCTAGGTCATTGCAGAGCAATCCCATGTCATCAATGTAGACAGCAAGGAATACAATGAAGTCCCCTTCTCGAAGAATGTAGATGCAGTAATCAGCGTTGATTCGACGAAAATTGAGCTTTGCGAGCTCATGGTCAAGGTGTTCGTTCCAAACTCAAGAGGCTTGCTCCAATCCATAGATTGAACAAAGTAGCCAAGCGATTTTCCCAGAGAGAGGACCAACACCTTGAGGAAGGCGCATGTAGATCTCTTCTTTGAGAATACTGTTCAATACTTTACCCTCCCCAGGTTATTCCATGTGGAATCCATGGAATGGGGGGTGGACTGCAGAAATTCCAGATGGAATCCATGGAAGGGGGGATGGATTCCATGGAAAGGGGGGATGGATTCCATGGAAAGGGGGGATGGATTCCATGGAAAGGGGGGATGGATTCCATGGAAAGGGGGGATGGATTCCATGGAAAGGGGGGATGGATTCCATGGAAGGGGGGATGGATTCCATACTTTTGGTGGATGGATTCCATGGAAATGGGGGATGGATTCCATACTTTTGGTGGATGGATTCCATGGAAATGGGGGATGGATTCCATACTTTTGGTGGATGGATTCCATAGAAAGGGGGGATGGATTCCATGGAAGGGGGGATGGATTCCATACTTTATTCCATATGTCCTATACTATTTTTAGGGTGGAATCCATATGGACTCCATATGGAATCCACATGGAATGACTTTATGGAATAATTCCTAAGTCCACATTATGGAATCATGGTTTCTTTACTCCATGGTCATAGCTGAGCAGAAAAAATTGAAATGTATTGAATAAACTACACAATTTATTTTTACTACTTTCAATATTTAAGGGAGGAGGAAGACAGGGGAAGTGATGGAGGGGGGAG